GAAGCCCAAACTTCCATTGTGGCTATATTTGGAGTAAGAAAGTAATGAAGGCCAAATGAAACTATAAGGGCAAAACCCTGAGTAGGATTAGTGTTCTTAGAGGAAGAGACCCCAGAGAGTTCTCTTTCTCTCTAACAGAGTACTTAGCATAATCTGGTTTAGCTGGGTTACTTAGCGGTATTGATTTCTGTTTCTGCAGCAGGTAAGCCCGGTGCCTGCAGATGGCTACTTGCTTGCTGTCTATACCTTAGGCTCCTCAAGCCTGCAGAGTTACATCCACCCACCTGGTCAAAAAGTAGCAAAGGGCCATGAGGAAATCTACAGGATTCTAATGCCCTAAGATAAGGCTTGAGGGTTAGTGGGTTATAGAACTTTGAATAATATTCTAAGAGGTATTAAAGGTGAGAAAAAGCGGACCAAGGCCTTTGAGCGAAGCCATTCTCTGCTGGATAAGAGCATGCCCTGGTTGTCATGGTTACGTTAATCCTAAACCAGGAAGGGGGGCCGGGGGCGGGCGGGAGAGAAAACAACCCTTCCAGAAAGGGCTTTCTGAAACCTCAGCAGATGCAAATTTTTTAAACTTGGGCAAACCTGTGTATGAGATTGCTTTTGAAAGGTTAGAACCTCAGCTTGTATCAAGTAGGGGAAATCGTTTGTTTAGACGCTTGAGGAAGTAGGGAAGGGAGGAGACGACCCCCCACTGCAGAAAGACTTGTCTTTATTCTTTTGGAGGAGGAAAAAAAAATACTCCCACATAAAACTTTATGCAACAGAAAAAACCTGAAGGCATAGATAGATTTTTAAAGGTACAATAAACTAAAGCAACTTTGATGTCACAATTTTTTTAAAAAGATTTTATTTATTTGAGAGAGAGCAGGAGAGCACAAGCAGGGGGAGCAGCAAGCAGAGGGAGAAGCAGGCTTCCCGCCGAGCAGGGAGCCCGATGCGGGGCTGGATCCCAGGACCCGGGATCATGACCTGAGCCGAAGGCAGACGCTTAACCGACTGAGCCACCCAGGTGCTCCTGATTTACAATTTTTAAGAGCTTAAACCCAAATTTGAATGTTTATACTATTTGTTATTCGGTGTTTAGTGGCCCGACATTCCCCAAAATGCAAACCTCCTCCTAAAAGGTAATTTTATAGGATTCCATGAACAGCCAATTCAAAATGGGGAGAATCAAGTGGGACACCCAATTTGAAATTAGCCAACTTATTTGTGTGTGAGGCTAAAATTCAGATGCCTTTTGGAGCATAATTAAAAGTAGCCAATAAGAAAAAAGTGATAAAAATGTGATTATGTAGTTTCACTATTTGCTGATTTGTTCTCCAGAATAAAACATATAATTACTATTTGGTGTCATTTCTGTAAGGCACACATTTCTAGAATTAATTTTCATCAAGACTGGCTGAGTGTGGGGTTGGCCAGACTGACCGTTTTTTTTTTTCTCCATTTTAAAAAAGATTTTCTTTATTTGAGGGGGGAGGGAGGATGTGCAAGCAGGGGGAGGGTCAGAGGGAGATGGAGAGAGAGAATCTCAAGCAGGCTCCACACTCAGCGTGGAGACCCACTCGGGGCTCGATCCTACGACCCTGAGATCATGACGTGAGCTGAAATCAGGAGTCTGGTCGCTTAGCTCACTGAGCCACCCAGGTACCCCAGCCTTTCATGTATGAATAAACTTTACCTTAATAATTCTACTCTGGTCCAGGATTGGAGTGTAATGCTGTGTTTTAGGTTGACTGCCATGGAGTTTGTTTCTTAGAGGCTGTGGGAGTCTTAGAGGTCTGTTTCCTCAGCCTCAATATAACACTTGGTGATAATTAAAAAACTCATTTGTCATAAGATCCTTTCATTTTCATATTAAATTTCGTATTTAATATTTCATATTAAATTCATATTAACTAGTGTGCAGGTTTTCAAATGATGTGTAAATTTCTTGGTTTCCCCTCATGTACGGTAGCTTGTGCAGCATTAAATAGAAATGTGTGTGTATTTTAAAGTAAGCCCCTCCTTTGAGAAGAGACTTCTACAGGTCAGAATTCCTTGGGGTCTCTGCTTTGTGCCCGCTAGCTTTATCCAAGCTGTTGGATATACCCCCTTCCCCCATTCACACTTCATCATCTTATTTCTAGATTTGCTTTAGCAAAAGTGCTGGTGGATTTATAGCTTTTTGAACCCCGTTCCTGGCTCCTAGTGCAAAGCCTGCCCCAAATGCAAAATTTGCGGTTACTCTAACAACGTTCATTTCCTGCCAAACACATAAAAGACCTCTTTGCCCAGAGAAATCTTAGCAGATGTTGAGTGCGCCCACATGGGTGTTCGCTCACTCTCCCCATGTGGTCAGGCCTTCACAGCCAGTCTTCCTTGAGCTATTTTCTAAGCTCTAATGTTCTAAGAAGAACTCACTTTCTGACTCGTAAAAAGGTAGAAACAGATTCTATTGTGCATCACCCTCTCTGGCTGTTTATAGATGTGAACCCCACCTCCACTTACTTTTTCTTGTTTTTTTTTTTTTCTTCTGCATTTTTCATTGTGATAAAATATATATAACATAAATTGACCAGTTTAGCCATGAAGTGTGCAGTTCAGTGGCATTAAGGACATTCACCAATACCACCATCCGTTTTACATTCTGTGATGTGATTTTGTTTTGGTTTTTTTGTGTGTGTTTTTTAAATTTAAATTCTAGTTAATATACTGTGATGGGAGTTTGAACAAAATTACTTTGAGTGTGAAGTTCCAAAAAATCCATTGGAGACAAGTGTTGAGGAATGATGTTGCAGACTGTCAGAGTAAATCCACCATGGGAAGTAAAGGAGGGATGATTTCTCTTAGAGAATGGGAATGAAATCTTTCCCTTCTTTATTAGACGTTCCTGTTTTTCTCATTAGTCCTGCCATCAGCTCACATGAGATGATTCTACCAGTGACCTTTGAACCAGGCACTTCATGAAAGAGCCTGGTGAGGTTGGGATTACCCGTGGAGAATATTGTACGCCTTCAGAGAGCTATGAATATCTTCTGGATTTCAGTGATGAGGAATATGGGAGTATAAAGTGGCATCTGTTTAAAAAAAATGCTCAATGACTGGACACGGAAGCATCTTTGATGGCTCCTCAGGTCATGCTGGGCCAGGCTAACGGAAATGCCCATCATTAAACTTGTCAGGCTCTAGCTTACCGTCCGTTAGTCCCGTGGGTTACTAATTGGTTCCTGTAATGCTCTGCTCTTCTCAGAGGAAAGGTGAAAGTATAAAAGCAGTAACTGGAAATGACCATGTTTTGAAACATTTTTCTTCCAGTGTTTGATCTGTGTGGTGGACTTGGGTCCATTTTATTAGTGGGTCATTAAGAATCCATCAGGCAGTGAAGAGAAACCAAGGCATATATATGATTCTTAGTGGTGAGGGTAGAAATTGGGAGTCTTTCTCTCCTGTTCCCTTTTCCCTTGCAGATTCAGTATATAGAAAATGCATGTAGAGTATTGATTGCTGTGGGCATTTCATTGAGTACCAGCTGCTTTGCTGGACGATAAGAATATAAAGGTGAATAAGGAGCCCAGAGTTTAAGTGGGGAGACAGGCTCATGTATACTTAACTTTATAGAATACTGTGGAATGAGTATGTTTTATTCATTTGTTCATTCACCTCCAAATTGGTTGGTCTTCAAGGCACCGTAGATACAGAGATTAATAAAATGCAGCCTTTACCTTCAGTGTGGGTGAGGTGTGGAGGTGAGTTTGCACAAAGTTCTGGGAGAACCTAGGGAAGAAATCATAAATTCTGCTTTACTTGCAGAGGGAGGGACAAGGAACAGGGTTAGGGTCCACTGCCACAAAAAGGGCACGGAATCATGAGTTGAAAACTTAAATGTCCCCACAAAACGTACACACAAATATTTATAGCAGCTTTATTCTTAATCGCCGACACTTGGGTGGTAGGTAACCAAGATGTCTTTCAGCAGGTGAGTGGGTAAATAAACTGTGGTACATTCATACAAGGGAATATTATTCAGCAATAAAAAGAAATGAACTGTGAAGCCATGAAAAGACATCCAGGGACCTAAATGCATACCGTTGAGCAAAAGAAGCCAATCTGAAAAGGCTACATGCCATGTGATTCCAACTATACGCCATTCTGGAAGAGGCAGTGGAGACAGCAAAAAGACCAGGGGTAGCCAGGAGGGGGGGGGGGGGGGGGGGGGGGGGGGGGCTGAGGGTGGTGAAATTATCCTCTGTGACCCTGTGATGGTGAATACGTGATACTATACATTTGTCAGGACGTCTAGAGCTGTAGAATGCAGAGTGAACCCTGCTGTAAAGTGTGGGCTCGGGGTGATGATAATGTGTCCGTGTTGGCTCAGAAGTGGTGACAAATGCGTTGGTGCAAGATTAATAATAAGGGAAACCGGATACTGTGTGTGTGGTAAAAAGAGGTATGTGGGAATTCTCTGTGCTTTGTCTTCCATTTTCTGTAAATCTAAAACTGCTCTAGAAGTATACATATTTTTTTAATAATTTTATTTTATTTATTTTATTATTTGTTTTAAAGATTTATTTATTTGACAGAGACACAGCGAGAGAGGGAACACAAGCAGGGGGAGTGGGAGAGGGAGAAGCAGGCTTCTGGCGGAGCAGGGAGCCCGATGCGGGGCTCGATCCCAGGACCCCGGGATCATGACCTGAGCTGAAGGCAGATGCTTAACAACTGAGCCACCCAGGGACCCCTAGAAGTATACATATTTTTAAAAAGGGGGTGGTGCCTGAAATTGGGGTGGGGAGGGGAAAATGGCAGAGAATTAGCATCTGAGTGGGAATACAGCCTGAAAAGGGCTCCAAGGTGTGCAGTCGGGGGTACCGGTGGTCGGCGTTCATGGAGGTTGGCAAGCTGAGAAGGGCCGGAGGATTCAGGAAGGAAGAGGCTTCCCGTGGTGGGAGCTGAGGTCGGTTTTCATCTCTTCCCATGTCAGAGGGGGTAACTCCTGTTGTTTCTGTTCGCAGCAAAGAGCCCCAGGGAAAGTGCTGCTGGACGCAGTCTGCAACCACCTCAACCTCGTGGAAGGGGACTATTTTGGCCTTGAGTTTCCCGACCACAAAAAGATCACGGTAAGTAATGGGAAGTTAATGAAGTAATTTAAGTGATGGGAAGATATTTTACCATCCACTCGGCTTTGGGGAAGGTGAGTAATCGGGTCTGGTTCCTTGGCCATACAGACCCATCACAGAAGAAGAACATCCAGAAAGCCCTTGTTAGTCTTTTTTGGAAGTACTACATACATAGGATTAGCAAGTGCCAAGAGAATAGTCCATGAAGACTAGCTCCCTCTGACCCTTTCCCCCACCTCTCCCTCCAGAAACTACCATTACCAGTTGCCTCTGTCTCTTTCTGATAAAAGTCCGTGTCTGTGTGTATACAAACATATTTCTGAAACACGCTGTTGTGGGGAAACAATATACAACGTCCTGTACCTTCCCTACCACTTCCATTGGTGTATTGTGAAGATCTTTCCTTTTCCGCGCATAGAATCCACTTCCTTCTATTTCAGTTCTGTGCCATTCCGCCAAACGGACATGCCAGGATTTACAACGCCTTTTGTCAATAATGGGATACTTAGATTGTTCCTAGTCTTTTGCTTTTCCAACAGATGAAACTACGGCAAGCACACTAATACATTTGAGCTTGCACTCAAGTGTTTCAGTACTTGAGATCCAGTGGTATGGAGTTGCCTAATCCGTGGGTTTCGATCGTTGTAAAGTTTGAAAAATATGTCGTGTTCTTTACAAAGGTTTCACCCATTTGAACCCAGAAGTTAGAACATAGCTTTTTGTTCCTTTTGTCTTTTGTCTCAGGGCACTTTCTTAAGGTTGTATCTGAGTCTCTTTATTAGATACTGTTTGAGACTATAAGTTCATTTACTGTATTTCTATTTATTCTTCCGTTCAGTACAGAGTACCTAGAACTTTGGCTAGCCACTGTGCTGGGGATAACTGTAAGATGCAGGGAACGTATGATCAGGTGGGGTGTCAAGCGTAGTCAATGCCTAGCACAGGGCATGTGACAGGTGCCCCACTGGGGCCAGGGGGCATTGGACAGTGGGGGCGACAAACAACATTGTGTTCAGGGAATCCTTCCCAGGTACTACAAAGCTGAGTCCCATGAGGCCAATAGGAGTTGACCTGATAGAATGTTCTAGTGAGAGGGGGTCCTACTTTTAAAGAGCACCAAGCAACCTTCAGGAACCTGCAAGTAAGGCTGGAGTTGAGAGGTAAGAGGGAGGGACTCAAGTGAAGGAGGTGAGAATGTGGCAGGGAGCCACATGCTAAAGGGCTTGCTTTTTTTTTTTTTTAAGGTTTTATTTGAGAGGGAACGAGCAGTGGGGTGGGGCAGAGGGGGAGAGAGAGAGAGAAGCAGACTCCCTGCTGAGCAGGGAGCCTGATGTGGGGCTCGATCCTAGGAAACCAGGGATCATGACCTGAGCCAAAAGCAGACGCTTAACTTAACTGAGCCCCCCAGGCGCTCCAAGGTGAAATTAACTTAAAAGTATATTTAACTTAATATGTCCAAAAACCTTATCATTTCAGCATGTAATCAGTATCAGAAACTGTGAATACGCTATTTCACATTTTTTCGTGCTGCGTCTTCGAACCTGGTGTGTATTTGAGTCTCACAGCCCCTCTCGATTCATGCCATCCGCGTTCCCAGTGCTCAGTAGACACGCGTAGCCAGTGGCTATCGTATTGGACAGCACAGCTCCCAAGCTAACGTGTTTGGGAAGCTGTCAGTGTGTTTTAAAGGGAACATGGTATGATCCGATTTTTGGGTTAGAAAGAGGACTGGACTGGAAGAGGACGAGACTAGAGTCAGGAAAGCCGTTAGGAGCTTGCTGTGTTTCAGGCTGGAGATGGTGCTGGAAGGAACTGAGGGAGAAGCACGGTGGAGAGCTGGAGGGAGGTGGGTGAATTCAAGAGGTTTTGGGGGAGGAGGTGCTTAGGGATATGACTGAGTGGATGGGCTTGTGAGGGAAAACAGGCTCAGAGCCGCTGGGTTTTCCAGCTTTGCTGTCTGGGGGTTAGTGGTGCCAATCGGTGGGGATGAAAGTCTCGGAGAGGCCATGTCTGTGAATAGGGAAAGACGAGTTCTATCCCAGACATGAGGACTCGGGCGTCAGTGGACATCCCAGTGGAGACGTCCAGTGGGCAATACCAGTAGGTGTACCTCCTGGAGCACAGGAAGGAGATCTGAGGTGAAATGTAGACTTCACAAATCCTAGGATTATTTTATTTAAAAAAATTTTTTTTTCAAAGATTTTATTTATTTATTTGAAGAGAGAGTGGGGGAAAGAGCAAGAAAGCAGGGGGTAGGGAGAGGGTCAAGCCGACTCTCTGCGCTGAGCCCGGAGCCAGATGCGCGGCAGCTGACCTCACAACCCTGAGATCATGACCTGAAACGAAACCAAGGGTTAGACGTTTAACTGACTGAGCCACCCAGGCACCGCCCCCCGCCCCAGGATTATCTTAAATATTAATTGAAGCTCTGAAACTGGACGAGAGGGTAGACTGGAAAGGAGGCTAGCTTGGAGCACCAGCATTTAAGGGATAGACAGAGAAGGAAGATCCGTCAGAGGAGGTGCAGTTGGGGAGGAGCAAAACCAGGGGAAAGACACAGAGCAAGGGAAGAGAGTGTTACAAGGAAGGCAAAGACAGTCGAGTGGGTAGGTGGTGAATGAGCAAATCTGTCACATACCTAAAAGCGGGTGTGAATAGTAGTGTTTTCTCAGCTTGTTCCTGTCTCCAAATACTCTTCAGCATTTCCTCACGCTTAAATTAAATCTAAGCCTCCCTGACTCCCATTCCTTTTTCTGATGTGGCAGAGGACCGCAGATGGGCCAAATCTAATTCTACATTCTCTTTATCCAGCAATTATTTTATGCCTGCACTGTGTCAGTCGTCCTCCTTTATACCACAGAAGACAGGAGTGACAGCAAGTGCACAGCTGGCAAGAGAGACAAGGAAACACATAATGACAATACAGTTTAGCAAGTTCTACGGAACATTGTTTCATAAAATTATTTTATGCTAAAATAGTGATTCTCAAAACACTGGAAGATATGCTGTCTTATTATTTTTAACAACTTTGCCTTCCCCGACTCCACTCTTGCTTCGTTCTGAGCCAACTCGAGTTGCCTTTTTAAACGATAAATCAGTAGTGGTGAGGGTACTAAGATTCTCAGGACTGTTCCATATCTGGGTCAGCCAAATAGCTGGTGGTGGTGTTGGTATTCTAACCAGGTTCTTCTGACCCCAAGTTCGATGCCTTTCTAGAACTTACAAACCTGTTGATTTTCCTGTGCACCTCCAGTGCTGGTTTCTTTCAAGTTTTATCAGGCTTGATTTTTATCATCTCACTACTTTCTTGTAATACCATTTAGGAATGTGTTCCGCTGCAAGGTATGGAAAACCCATTAATGATGACAAAGAAATCGGTGTTTGTCACATGCAACACAAATGGAAGCCACCACATGGGTGCCTACCATGTGCCAGATTGTTCTAGTCCCTGTGGACACAGCAGCTAACATGGCCCATGTTCTAAAGCAGGGATCAGTACACTTTGTAAAGGGCCAGTTAATAAATACTGTATGAAGGCTTTGCAAGCCATAGGGTCTCTGCTGCAGTTACTCAAGGCTGCCCTTGTATGCAGGAACCGTGTGGACAGTGTGTAAATGAGTAGATGTGGCTTTGTTCCAATAAAACTTTATTTATAACACGGGAAGCCCTAGTTTGGCAGCACTACTCCGAAGAGTGATGACTGTGCAAGGCATCCTGTTCGTTTTACCGATAGTATTTCACTGATTCCAGAAAAGCCCATCATACACCCTTTCTCTGATGAGGAAGCTTAAGACTTAAAGAGGTTAAGTCATTTTCACGAAGGAGCACGGCTGGGAAATTTGGAAATTTGAGAGCCACGATTCGGGTTCAGTTCTGTCTAAACACAAGCTCGTGCTCCCCACCACCCTTCCATTCTGACCCCGTTCCCGTGTTTTGTTCTCTGTCAATTACAAAATCCCAAATCCCAACCTGAGAGTTAATTTTGTAAGGTTAAAAAGAATAAGTTGTTTCGAGAGAGCTGATCTGTGATGTTGGGATGGGGAGGGAGAGGTGCCTGGGGGAAGGGTACAAGGAGGGTTTCTGGGGCCCTTGGCCGAGTTCTGTTTCTTGATCTGGCTGCTGGTTCTATGCGTATAATCAGCATGTACAAATGCAGTGACCTCTACGCTTACCCCATGTGTTCCGTGTGTGTATAAAACGTCAATAAAAGTTTACCCCCAGGCTCGCCTAGGTGGCCCAGTGGGTTGGGCATCTGCCTTTGGCTCCGGTCATGATCCCAGGGTCCTGGGATGGAGCCCTGCATTGGGTCCCTTGCTCGGGATTTCATTTGTCAGAGAGCAAGCGCGAGCACAAGCAGGGGAGTCTGCTTCTCCCTCTGCCTCTGCCGGTCCCCCTGCTTGTGCTCGCGTGCTTTCTCTCTCTCTGACAAACACATAAATAAAATCTTTTTTAAAAAAGTGTGTCCCCAAATTCAATGAAGTAAAAGCACATAGGAGCAGAAATAATGACCAAAAAGTGCCCCAAGGCTGGCTGACAGCATCTATTTTGGAAGAACCAAGGACAAGTCTTGATTTTTGTTGAACTGAGGAAGAGCCACTCACCTGCGAAAACGGTAAACTCTGGCTGGGTTTTCACCTCTGCTCTTAGTAAAGATGCTCGAAAATTGAAGATTTCTGTCCAGCGGTTTCTGTTTCCTCCCCAGATTCTGTTGATTTCTAGCGGGGTGGTATATTGTAGCAGCTCAGGAAAGGGGCTTTGCGATCTGACTCCCAGCCCTGAAGTCAGTGCAGCAGGACGACTCAGCGGCAGGATGACAGGAGCTGAGCCTCGCTTTACTTGTGGGTGGAATGGGCACAATAGTGCCCAACCGTTGGGGTTTTTGAAAGAATCAGATGTGGTAAGATCAATCAGCATGTAACCTGTGTTGGGGGACCTGTTCGAGTGTTTAAAAAGTATTCGTTATGGAGACTCTTATCATGATCACTTTTTTAATTGTCAAA